ATATATAGTGTTTTATGTGTATATTTGGCTCACAGAATGTAGATAAAGGTTAAATACTGGTAGGAAGGGTAGAGATGTTGGGCCCTGAATGCAGTAGGACCCTTTGATGGCAGCTCCCAAGCTTAACAACTTGAAGTCTCATTGCAACTTTTCTCCAAAAATCTAGAGCAAACCACACAGAACATTTGGGAAAGGTCTGTGGAGGCCCAGCCTCTTTCACCCAGGGCCTGAGTCCAAGGAGAGGCTCCTGTGGACCAGAGCCTGGGCAGGGCACGGAGAGCCTGCTTTCTGGTAATGGCTCTGAGATACAAAGACCTCCACTCCCCAGGACTGATGAAGTGCACACAGTTCTCAAGCTGGGATATGCCGGCCAATTCTGCTGGACAACTGGGACCAGAGGAGCAGGGACAGTTTCCCTGAAGGGCTGGCCACGTGGGAATGTGACCTGTTCGGCACAAGTGTCCAAGGCCATTGTGTGTAGTGGTGCGGATTGTGCACTGCAGCTCCAGGGCTGCCATTGGTGCTGTTGACTCTGTGAAGGCGCCCCCTGGAGTTGTGCGGTACACAGTGCATGTGGCCCTGGAGGCATTCTTGTTTCTTGTCCGGATGACTGGGCAGTCTGATGATCTTTAGAAACAGAGCTTCCTGTGGTAGCTGCACACACGTGGTCTCATGAAAGAGACACCAGGCAATGGGACGGTGACTTGATTTCTCTAGGAGCCACGCCATGCTCTCCAGGCTTGATGCGCTGTGCTGGCCATGGCTGTAAACGCGGGTGGAGGCCTTGCCTCTAGCCCTGCCTGCCCTGTGAAGCCCTGAGAGCTGCCTCGTGGCAGCTGGGGACATTCCAGGAGTGGAACAAGTGCTGGATTGGTAGATGGAAACCCCGTCTTCATGACAGAGGAGCCATGTGACCTTGGTCACGTGTTATTATCCATATTAGTTTCCTAGGGCTGAGTAACAAATTGCCACGACCTAGGGGGCTTAAAACAACAGAAGTTCTTGCTTTCACAGTTCTGGAGGCTGGAGGATAAACTCAGAGTGCCAGTGGGGTTGGCTCCTCCTGGAGTCTCTGAGGGAGAAACTGCCCTGTGCCTTTCTCCTAGCTTCTGGCGGTTGCCAGCAATCCTTGCATTCCCTGACCGGCAGACACACCTCTCCAATCTCTGCCTCCATCTTCACATTCCCTTCTCTGTGTGTCTCTCCTCCCTTCTTCTTCTCCCTCTTTAAAAAAATTGAATGGAGTTGAGTTTTTAATTTTGGAAAAATATCCACAGAGTAAATTAAATCCATTACCATTTTAACCAATTTTAAATGTATGTTCAATGGCATTAAGTGCATTCACATCCCTTCCTCTTTTACAAAAACACTTGTCATTGGATTTGGAACCCACCCTAATCCTGGATGATCTCATTTTGAGATCTTTAAATTAATTACATCTGCAGAGGCTTTTTCCAAGTATGGTCATATTCACAAAGAGACATCTCTTTTGAGGGGGCCACCAGTCAACCTAGTCCAGCCTCCAAACCTCAGGTTTCTCATCTGTGAAATGGGAATCTTCGTACTTGCTTCTCTGCCTCCTTTGTAGGATGGTTATAGGGACTGAGGTGCCGTCTGTGCCGAGGGGTTGGTGGCAGTAGGCCTGACCTGTCCTGTGTGTGGCCCCTAATGAGCCTGGTCTCCACACAGCCTGAGTTCTGGCCCTGAGGAGATTCCCTCTCCCCACGAGAGAGGCCTCTTCTGCAGAACTGTAAACAACAGGCCACTTTGGGTGGGGGCAGGCTGGGGGAACTGCTTCATTGATCTCTCTACCCATAAAAGGCTCTCCTGGGGGGACCCCCATGACTTTGATGCCAAAGGGGGAACGAGAGTACATGTTAACCTTGAGGCCAGGGCTCCATGCCCACCTCCACAAGCCACCACTCCTGGGCTGGGGGCTCTGGAAGGAGGCAAAATGATGGGGCCGGGGATAGGACCCCTGCTTTTTGGCCCCCAGAAGCTGTCCCTCAGGCACATTCATCTGAGCTTGGTGGCCTTCCAGATTCCCACTGATCTGTGCTCGACTCCTACCCTGGTCACCCCTGCCCAGAGTGACCTCTCATCCCTCTGAATCCCTCTGACTTTTCTTTGGCTCTCAGCCCTCACCTCAGGGGGTGTGCAAAGCATGAGATGACCCTGGGCAAGTTGCCCAACCTCAGTTTTATCACCTGCTGAATGGAGATAATCACAGTAGATACTGCAGGGGCGTGGTTGTGAGGCTCAAGTGAGATAACAGAGTTTCAGAGGTCCCATGGGCACACAGACCTGGAGCCAGATCCTCGGGGTTCAAATCTGGTGTGCTGAGGGTTTGGGACAAGTTAACAACTTTTCTGGGCCTCACTTTAAACATCTGTAAGGTGAGATGAGAATAATGCTGCCGACCTCATAGGACTGTTGGGGGATTCAATGAGCTAACACACGGAAAGCACTTTGAATAGTGCCTGACACTCACTACATACTAGGTAAGAGCCAGCTATTATTGTTGTTGTTGTCGTTGTTATAGAGCTTAACGCCAACCTGTGCAGATAGGAAGCCTTCAAGAAATAACTTAAAAAAAAAACCCAAAACCAAAACACCCCAACCTGCATCCTCCTATTGGGCCAGGCTTCTGGGTGGGATAGGGGTACAGCAGGAGTTTGACACAACTCTGTTGATTTACTTGTCCCAAAAGGCTGGCAGTGCTGTCTCTGTTTTTCTTTTGGTGGGGGGTGGGGGGTGGGGGTACACTGATGAAAGGTGCGAAACTGAGAAAGCTCTCCCCAGAAAGAAGCTCAGAAGCAAATAGTCACAACACGTTGCACAGACTTTCAGGGGATCCCGGGACCCCCTGAGGGCCAGGGTGAGAAGCCCCTATTTAGATGACACACCCTCCCATGTCTCATTTGTTGTTTTACTCCAACAAACGAAAGCTGGCCGTCCTCATCGGGGCGGCACCCGCACCTCCCCCGAGGCTCCCACGTCTCCCACTCCCTCTCCCCAGGCCCCCGGCTCAGGGCCCACTCCAAGCCACAACCCTTGGCTGGGAGTTGAATACAGCACCTGCTCAGCACTTGAGGGCTAAAACAGAAAAAGAAATAGCAGACTCAACTTTTAAAAAATCAGACAGAAGGAGTCATCCTCCAACCCAGACGCCATAATTCACAGGCTCTTATTTGCTGAGTGGGACTAAATGGTATTTATGGCCAAGAGGCCCTGGACTCACCCCGAGTTGAGCGATCCAGGAGGTGCCCAAAGTCTGGCGGCAGTGAGGAGAGACCCAAGGGCTGGGGAGATCAGACGACTCGCACGGGAGATGTTATTGTTGTTAACAACTCATGTGATGTTTTACCCACTTAATGTTAGTGTGGCTTCAGCATTTCAGTATATGTTCCTGGGAACATAATAACCTCAAACAATATCTGTTTACTTGAGGTCAATTGTGTGCTTGATATTGGGCTGTTTGCTGTGGGGCCCATTCATTCATTCATTCATTCACTCAGGGTTTATTAGGTCCTTCCTTCTATGAGAAGCTGGTCTAGGCACTGCGGATAAACAGTGAGCAAGGCAACAAAGGGCTCTGTCCTAATGACGTTTACAGTCTTGGCCAGAGAGACAAATAGCACAAAGTAAACAGTAAACATATGTCGGATGGTAATACGTGCTGAGAAGAACACAGCAGGCAGGGGCTAGAGATGGCTGATGCACTGTTTGAGCTGGTGTTCAGGAAAGGCTCCTTTGAGCAGAGGCCTAAAGGAGTGAGGGAGGGAGCGATGAGGAGGTCTGGGGAAGGGCACAGGGAGGAAGGAGGGCCATCCACCAGGTGGCCAGTCCTGGTTGAGTTGGGACAGCCCAGCATGACTGATGACCGGCAAGGTTGGTTCCCACAGCTGGGGTTTCTGGATGACAAGGCTGCTGACCACCCCAGCCCTCTGCTGGGACTCCGCCTGGGGCACACAGGTCCTGCCTGGCTGTGAGCTGGGCCTCGCTGCCATGCTGAGAGCACCCCGAGGGCTGTTTCTTCCTCAGCCTTACCCCTTCCTATTGTACCTACACTTTGCTGAGCCCCCAAACTTCTGCTGAAAACTGGATGAAGTTGGCAATATCTCAAGACGTTAGGAAGGCTGTACTTTTTGCTGTGGACTGAATGTTGGTGTCCTCTCAAAATTTATATGTTGAAATCCTAACCCCAAGGGTGATGGCAGTGGATGTGGGACCTTTTGGTGAGTAGGTCCTGAGGCTGGAGCCCTCACGATGGCAGTAGGGCCCTTCTAAGAGACTCCAGAGAGCTCCCCTACCCCTTCCTCCGTGTGAGGATGCAGCAGAAGACAGCTGTCTGTGAGCTGGGAAGCAGGCGGGCTCTCAGCAGAACCCTGCCAAGCTGATGCCTTCATCTTGGACTTTTCAGCCTCCAGAACTGTGAGAAATAAGTTTCTGTTGTTTATAAGCCACTCAGTGTATGGTATTTTTGTCAAAGCAGATTGAAGGGACTAGACACTGTTGGAGGAAATATAGGGGATAGGGGGACAAGCCAAATGACACCAGGAGGAAACAATCAGGTAAATCCAGAATGTGAGAGAGTCTGCAAGACAATCGGCCCAGCCTCTTCAATGTATATATCGATGTAATAAAAAATACAAGGATGGGAAACTATTCTAGATGAAAAGGAACATACAATCAAATAGGAAGAATCATCCTTGAGCAAACCCTGGGTTTTGTTTTGCTTTTTTTTAAAGATTGGCACCTGCGCTAACATCTGTTGCCAATCTTCTTTGTTGTTGTTGTTTTTCTTCTCCCCAAAGCCCCCCAGTACATAGTTATATATTCTAGTTGTGAGTGCCTCTGGTTGTGGCATGTGGGACACTGCCTCAGCATGGCCTGATGAGCAGTGCCAGGTCTGCGCCCAGGATCTGAACCTGTGAAACCCTGGGCCACCCAAGTGGAGCATGCAAACTTAACCACTTGGCCACAAGGCCGGCCCCCAAACCCTGGTTTGAACAGGCAAGTGATAAAAGGCCCTTTAGAGACTCTTTGCGGAATTCCAATAGACTGAATTTCAAATGACTTTCAGAAATTATTGTGAATTTTCTTAGGTGTGATATGGTATTGCAGTGAGATAGGAGGATATCCCTTGATTTTGATATGATGGTGGTGTGTGGGGGTGACACGCAATGATGTCCATAATTTATTCTGAAGTTGTTCAGCAAAGTAAATAAGTAAGTAAATAAAATCTGAGCTTTTTTTTTAAGGTTAGGGATGGCTCAAGGGAGGAGAATGAGATGCCCCAAGGGATGTGGCTCACCTTCCTGGCCTTGGCTGAGCCCCAAATACGTGACAAACCCCAGGGCATGCACTTGCTGTGTGTTCATGAAGGGAATGTGCACCAGCACCGGCACAGAGGTGCTTAATCGAAGCTGAATGAATGAATGGGTAGTCTTTGTGGGGTTTGCCTCCTAGGATGGGCTCTAGCTGAGCACCCCCTGCCACTCCACATGTTTACATCCCACCCAGCCTTCAAGCCACCACGAGACTGTCACCGGAGTGCCTGGGAGGGCCCTTGGAGGTCTCCCTGGGTGATTCCAGGCACCGCTGCCATCTCCCCTCCCTGACCCTCCTCCGCGTCTCCTGGCAGCCCCAACACGGGGCTCAGTCACTGTTCGGGTCAAGAGTGGCTTGCTCATAATCACCCGATCACGAGCGGCTGGCCTGCTGGTCGCTAAGTATTTCATTGACTCGGGTGCTGCACCTTCAACAGCCTTGTACCCAAAAAGGCTCCCTAGTCAGGCGAGACATATTGTAGGGACCCAGCGAGAACTCGGTGTCCTAAATAATAATAATGATAATGATTATCATAAAAATACCTAAGCTTACCGAGCATTTAGTATTTCCAAATGTCACACTAAGTGTTTAACACAAGTTCTCTCTTTAATTCTCCTAAGAAGCCTGTTTTGGTGTCTTTTTCGTTAACTCCTATCCCGTCTTACAGCCTGGTTCATAGTCTCACACTTATGAGGTGGCAGTGCCGGGATTCAAACTCTGGTTGCCTCTTTCCTGTTTCTCCCCTAGGAGCGATGTTCAAGCCACGTCGTCTGTGGCCCTCGAGGGCTCAGGCTTCCTCTGTGGTGGGTTGGTGATGCTTGGGGGCAGCTACGAGGAAAGCCAAGCGCCACTAGGGCCCACGAGCTGCAACTCCAAGTACGTTCTTTGTTCCCCACCAAGCTCCATGTTGAAATGATTATTTAAAATAATGGCTCTTCCCCTTCTTTTGCAATCCTTCAGAAGCACACCACAAGGTAACTGAAAGTTGGGCACACTGACAAGTGTCGCCTTTTATGAAAGTGCCTGGAAGGACCCGGAAGGACCCTTTCCTCAGAGGTCAGCTCCATGGAGGTACCACGGTGGCAGATGCTCCACTTAAGCTGGGAAAATCGTCATGTCTTCAAGCACCTTTGGCTCTCCTGTCATTCATTCGGGAAAGGGATTCCTGGTGTGTCCCCACCAGCATCCGAGTTAGGACGGATGGCCGTTTCTCGTCTTTGCTCCTCTCTTGGGGCCAGTTGCCCATCCATCTCCTGGTGGGTGGAAGCTGATATTGGATAAATACCAGTTGTCACTGCTGGGCTCTGCCCAGATTTTCTACCCCTGAAGGCATCCTGTCAACAGGTGTCTGGTGACACAGGGCCCATGAGGTCCTGCCTGCTTCACAGATGTTAGGTTCCAGCCGCAAAACCAAAGAAACTTGGGGTGGGAAAGAAGAGTCTAGATTTCTCTAAATGTGAAGCTTTCCAGGGCTGCTGACTAAGGAGTTTTCTTTCCAAACATCTGAAACAGCAAACAGATTGTAAATGAAGAGGGAGTTACGAGATAGCTAAGGGAAGCAACACCTCCCTGTCTTCTGGGTTGTAGCTGTTCCCGCACCGGCAGGACCTTGGCAGCCAAGAAAGGTGATTAAACAGGGTGCCGGTGGGGGGGGGTCAGAATGGAATTGGGGTGCCTGGCAAATATTAGGATACTGGGGAGAGTTCAGCCCTCTTCTCTGAGCCAAGGGAGAGCAGCTGATTCTGACAAGAGGTGGAACGCTGGTCTGTGTCATTCTTTTGAGCTAATGACTTAATGATTCCCACCCAGATCAAAGTTCAGGATCCCAAAGCAGCTCAGCAAAAATAAAGTGAAATAAATTGTAACCCCTCTCGAAGGGATGCTTCCCACGGCCACAGCATGAAGCGAGGGGCTGGCCGGTCCTTGGGCCACGCTTCTCTCCTCCTGCTGAGTAAAAGTAAATTTCAGTAAAGTGTCTCCAGTCAAGGCTGGAGTTTATATTGAAAGGAGAGCCCCTCGTGTAGCTTGCTCTGGCAATAACCCTGCTGCATTTGGGGTCCTGGGGCCACGATGAGGAGCCTGGGCCCAGAACCTCAAAGTTAGGAGCAAGTCACCCTGCCACGCCCCCACCACCTCCAGCCTCAACATGGAAGTCCCGCTCTGGATAACAGACAAGAGGAAAGCAGGTGCAGTGAATGGGATGTTGAAAGCTGACAGATGGCTGGACAGCTTTCAACATGGAGCTCACCCTCAGGTACCCTTGTTGTATCACTCGAGTTTAATGACCATCAGTGTGACATCCTCTGTCACAAGTATCAAGATTTGTCTGAGGACCCAACAGTGTGGTCATCTGAGTCCCTCTGAGCCACCCTCAGCCTTGCTCAGGGACCCAGAGGCATCTTTACTGATTTCCCCTAACCATCCAGTCAGGACACCCTCTGCGGAATGATCAGGACAATTCTAGGTTTGGGAGTCTCCTGGAGAGCTGCGTACTTTTCAGCCAGGGCCTGCCTGGTGGTGTGGGCTACAGAGCTGTGCCCCAGGAGTGGCCAAGGTTGCCCACTCTCCAGCCCCTACTTGCCACTTGCACGAGGCAGGGATTCAGGCCAAACCAAACCAACTAAAACAAACAGCTGTTGGCAAAATGGAAACCCCATGGGGTTGGGGTTCCGAGGCTGCTTCAGAGCTTGGAAAACCGAGTCAGTGATTGATAGAATAGGATATTTTTGGGATAAATTCAGATGGGGCTTGAGGTGGCGTTCATGGTATTTGTAGGCAAAAACAAAGCACAAATTCTAGGAGGATCCCTGTCTATTTCTCTGAGGGGCTCATGCATAAACTGGTTTAGGAAGCAAATAGGGTGAAAGTCTGCCTGCATGCCAGGCACTGTGCCAGGGACCAGGGGGACAAACCTGAGCCAGACACGGGCCCTGCCCTCAAGGAGTTCACAGCCTGAGGGAGACAGATGAGCAAATCGGTCTCACAAAGCAAGGCGACACTCTCACCAAGTCGAGAGGTTTATAGTCTGCGGTTAAGCATTCAGCCTGTGGGATCAGACAGACCTGGGTTCTAGACTCTTCTGCTTTCTGGCTGAGTGGCCTTGGGGAAGTTACATGATGTTCCAAGTCTCGGTTTCCTCGCCAGTAAACTGGGAATAAGTACAGTTCAGGGACCTCTTAGGCTTGCCAGGAGGATTCAGAGAGAGGATGTGTGCAAAGCGACGTGTCTGGCACTCAGCAGCGCTCTGAATAAATGTTAACCAGGTTTATCGTGAGTGTTATGTTATCAGAGGGGTTGGCAAGCACTCTGGGAGGCTGGAGAGCTGGCTGTCTTGGGGGATAGGGGTCCAGAAAGGCTCCCGGGGAAGCGATGCTGGCCGGAAGGTGAGAAAGAGCCTCTCTGGGAGGGGGGCTTTCGGTTACTGGCGAGGAGCTGGCCGTGCAGGCAGGAGCCACGGGCACAGAGGGGATGGTGGCCCCAGGTGCTATGCGACACGCCGAGAAGTTCAGACCTTGCCGGGAAGGCAAAGGGTATCGTAAAGGATTTTTAACAGGAAAAGAGCACTCTGTCGTCAGAGCGGAAGATTCGATGGGCAGGGAGGAAAGGCGCGGAAGGCCAGCGTGGAGGCCGTTGCCGTAGTCACGTGAGCGACTGGTGGGCCTGAAGGAGGGAATGGATATTTAGGAGGGGTAATTGCTAGGACTCTAGAACCAACAGGACCAGGGACGAGGAAGGGGAGCAGGCCAAGAGCGAGTTTGGAGTTTGGGCAGTTAATGGAGAAAGGGCCACCAAGGCCAGCGGTGGGATGGACGTGTGGGTGGAGGGCTGGGGACGCAGGTGCGCACAAGGATCTGCGATGCACAGACTTGGTGTGGGGAGTCTGTGGGACGTCTGGGTGGGGAGGGCGGGGGGCACTCAGAATCGTGGAGCGGTGAGGATGCGATCTCGATCGAGAACATTCATTACCTGCTTTGATGGAGGATGTTGTGTAGGAAATACTATGAAGACCAGAGCAGCGCCTTTTCTGAGTCAGACACAGCCCTGATGACACAAGACCCCCTCATTCTCACTCCTTGACCCTGTGACCTTTTGTAACCCTAGTCACTGACCCTCAGGAGAGAGACAGTCACACGGAGAGGAGCATAGGCTCGGGTCAAAGCTGAGGCCAGCAGGTGAAAGCCAAAGGAGCTAAAGTCACAATTCATAGCATAACTCAGGGCGTAGACAAGGTGACCATCATTTTAGTCCCCGAATGCTCCTTTCCCATGGAAGAAGGGAGCAGTTTTTGAAAGAAGCGAATTTAAAATAAAATGTTATGTGAAGTGATTGGAAGTGCTATCCTCAGAGATAGTCCAGGCTGAAAAGAGGAGCTAAAATGATGGCTAATGAAAGGTCAGCTATATTAAGGGTGACTTGAGGATTCTGGAGGGCAGGCTGGCTTTTGACTTACTGTCGGGAAGACAACCACTTCTCCTGCCTTTGATCTGCATTGTCAGTGACGGAGCACTGACCTGGATGACCGATGAAAATACAAAGTTATTCACTGAGTGCTTACGACATGCCCACAATTACGTGGATTATCTGCATCTACTCTCCAGACCTGAGCAGTCGTCATGTTATCTTCCACCTGTTTTGTCACTCTTACGCTTCTTTTGAAGCACTAGGTCACAGAAATTTTCAAGCTGGTTGAGGTGCTGGAGATCACCTGCAGAAATGCTCAGGAGGCCCATGAAAGGCCACAGGTGTCATGTGGCCACATTTGGCGAGGCTTCACCTGTTCTTAGGATCTGTGGGCAAAATGGAGAGATGTGGGTGTCACTATGTTGAGAAGCCACATGCAGAGTCTTCTGGCTCACTGGGAGGGCAGGTGCCGAGATTTCTGCTGGTCAACACTTGTGTTGATGATTTGGATCACGAAGGGTATTTATCAATCTGTGGGTGACAAAGCTGAGGAAGGAGGCAGAGGCTATACGCTAGATGGTAGAATTAAGATTTGATGGGGAGGCATGGGTGAAGGGGGTTGAAAGGTAAAAAAAACCAGAAGAAAAGATTTGATGAGATGGATAGGCTGAAATAGTCGTCTAAAGCTAGTAAAGTGGTAAAAGGATAAATGTAGAACTGTTTTTAGATTTAAAAATGCACTGATCACAAGTAGATAAGTGGATGACAGAGAAAATCTGAGTTGATGGCAGTTACGGAGAAAAGGCTGTTCACACAGTAAATTAAAGACATAACGTTTTTGCCATATACAGTAATGCGATTTTAGGCCACTTTTAAAAGAAGTGTGTGAAATAAAATAAATGTGAGCCCCATACCAGTGATGAAACAACATCTGATGCAGTCTGGGGAGCACACTTTAGGAGGAACTTTGGCAAACTGAAACAATATCCAGAGGAGAATGCTGTTTATGGGAAAGGCCTGGAAACCATGTCATCATGGGAGACCTGGTGGAAGGTGGGGATGGGGAACATGGTAGTGATCTTCAGGTATTTACAGAAAAGGGATTAGGTTTCTCATGCAGCTTGAGAGGAGATATCTTGAGCCAACAGGAGGTGATGGGGAAGCAGGTTTCTACTCAAGAGAAGTCCTAACAATCAATAGTGGTCATCAAAGCATGTGTGGTTTGTGAGGGGGCTGCCTTGCAAACTTCTGAGCCCAAACAAACATTTGCATTGAGCCCTGCAAATGTTCAGGCAAAGGCTGGACTGGCTACCCATTCAGAGGGGAGATGCAGGAGAGTATAAATGAAAAGGCCAAGAGTCAGGAAAACTGGATTCAGGTTCTGGTCTGGTTATAAGATGCGTAATGTTGTGCTAATCAATTTCCTTTTCCGGGCTTCACTTTCTTCAGCTCTGAGAATTTAATCATCATTGGCTTTGAACTTTTGGTAGCAATGGAACCATTCTATCAAATGAAATCTTCTGCCATTCCCCCCTCTGCCAATATATAAGCCCAGCGCGTTAGTACTGGACATCCCCCTCACTGCAGGCGAGCCCTCCCCCCGCAAACCCTGCACCAGGGCTCCTGGGAGTGGTTTGCAAAGCACTGGACCAGCTGATCTTCCTGCCCTAAAATCCCATGATTCCCTAAGGTTTCGTCCTACCTTAGTTTTCTATTCTATAGATGCCAACCCCTCATTTTATGCGTGAAGTACCTGACACTTAGAAAGGGGATTTAGCCAAGATCTTACAGCTGACTAGTGGTAGAGCTATATCTAGAGCACACAGCTCCTAGCCTATCTGGGGCCCCTTCCATCTCGCCAGGCTGTTCCCTACATGATTGTCTTAGCATTAACCCTGTGCTGCCCTCCACAGATTCTTTCCTCCTTGGGAAAGCACCAGGAAGGCAACAGGTCCAGTCCGAGGCATTGCTGCAGCGTGAGACAATGAGCTTGGACTTCGCTTCTCTACGTATTACTTTAGCTCAATGAAATCCTGTGAGTATGAGATGAGAAGGGAAATATAAGTGTGGCCCCGACTTCCGGTTGTCCTACATTATCTGTTCATGCCTTCTTCCTTACAACTAGAATCTCTTCTAGATGGCCACCCAGAATAAAGGTATTTCCCAGTCTCTTCTGCAGCTAGATATGGTGTTGCAACTAAGTTCTGGCCGACAGACAGTAATTAGAAATCTTGCTTATCCCTTATGGTAAGTGTGCTTAACGAGAAGGAGAAGGCCCTTCTTCACCCTTTCTTCCATGATGGCTGGAGCGTAGGCATGGTGGCTGTCCTATCAACAGCCACGTTGGATCATATGGTAGAAACCATGTATTGAGAAAAGTAAAAGTGGAACAAGATAGTAAGAACTTCAGTCTCTGATGATCCTATGAAGCCACATTACCATTCCCAGGCTGCTTCCTTGTGTTTTCCAGGCAAGAGAAATAAACTATTGTTTAAGACACCATTACCATTTTTCATTAACTCTGTCATTGATTCTAAGACAGCATCATTTTATACATGGCTAAGAAAAAGAAACCACCCCATCCAACTGTATGATACGTTCCAATTTCAGAGAAGTTCAAATGTGACAAAAGTATGAGTCTTATTACATGAAAGGAAGTATTTTGGGTTTCTGTTACTCACAGCCAAGCCTAACCCTGATTCAAGAAACATGAGGGAACGAAAAGACGACAAGTTCTAAATAAAGAACACGATAATCATGTAGAGGGAAGAACAAGTTTCCATATAAAAGAATGAGTCATAAAAATACTAGTGACACATGACTCAATTTAGGGACATTTCTCCTCTACTTCCCAGTCTGGCTTGGAGTGACTGGGGAATTATGCATGCCTATTTGGATGTGACCATCAAGTGAGACGAGACTCAAGGGGATGAGTGAGCGGGCTTTCAGATGTCAAGGACACGAAGCTGATTGTGTGCGATTTGGCTTTTAGGGTCTCTGACTCTTGGTTTCTTCTCCTCAACCCTGCAGAGTCCTCCTGGTTGACTTTGAGAAAGACAAATGGGCAGCTGCCGTCTGAAGCAGATGATGACCGAGCCAAGCTTGGAGCCAGCAGGCTTTCCCTTAGCTGAGACCCCAGGGAGATGCTCAAGGCTCTTCCTGCACCAGCCACCGCGATCGCTTTCTAGTGCAACTTGAGCCCTGGTCTGGTGCACAGCTGAGCACTTCTGGTCCTCAAGGTGAGTCCTGACTTAACCCTGTGACAATCCAATATTAATGTGCCTGCTGTGATTAAAACATCAACAGCCAATATGACAAATGAAAGGGAAATCTAAAAGTGGATGTAAGATGAAGTATCCATTCTCTGTGTCATTAAAGCAGGGTCACTTTCATGAGGAAGGCCCACTTGCTTGTTTTTAAATAATGCAGTAACTTCTTATTTTAAGTGATCCTTTCTCCTGTGACTGCTTCTTGAATCTACTGGGACTCCACAGACCTTCATAGGTTTTGCTGACTCTGCATTCTGGCTATCATTTATTGACTGTCTCCTCATGTGACAAGCGTTTGACATTTATTATTAAATATATCACCACCACAGGTAGGCAATATCATTCCCATTTTTAAAGATAATGCAATGAAGGCTCAGAGAAGTTGATTAACTTTCTCATAATAACACAGCTAATAAATGGGCTCTGAACTTAGGGTGGTGAAGGCTGTCATTATGATTTAGTCGTAACATACTGTAGAAGCAGCCTTTTAAGCTTCAGTTACTGGAACGTGTAAAGTTCTGCTGAGGAATACTTTTATCCTTCCACTCAGAAGGTCCACTGGGCACTGAAAACTTGTGACTATTCTGAAGGAAAGCCTTCTCTGAAAAACACAAAAAGAAAGTGGGGGAAATGGTGGGAGATGGACTGGATAAGCATCGTCACCCCAGGCCATACTTAAATTACACTCAGACAACTGTTTCAATGGCCTGTGTATAACTTGGTAACCCAGAATCTCTGTCAATGATGGAGATGCAAAAGGGCTCCACAGGAACATTCCCACAGCAGAGGAGGGGACCACTGCCCGGCTGGCTGCCTACTTCTAATGAAATACGCCATGTGACTTTTTGCTGAAGCAATTTGTAATAACAAAATTTTAAAGTTACTTTCAGAAATTTTCTGCTCACCTTAATTTCATACATATATTTTTTCATAAAGAAAAAATTCTTTATAAATCCCTATTTAACCCTTGCCAATTCTGATGAAGATATGTCATAATGAATCACGGGAATTTCTTTTATGATCTCATGTTCTACATAAAAACAGCTCAGCTACTAAAAGTACTGATCTAATTCTTAGGGGCCAGGATCTAATTCCTTCTGGTTTCAAACAAAGCAGAAGCCCTACCAAGTGATTTCCTGTGGATTGAAATATTCCATTAAAACGGAATAAAACTTCACCTCCACACTCATTACACTGTCCCTCAGATACTAAAGTACAAAGACGCCAGGCAAAATTTCTTTTAAATTATTTTATTTTTGTGTAAGCTAAAAGGAAATTTACACACTGAAATCTCAAAAGACCTTGGGCATGCACGGTAACCTTGTTAGAGGCTCTTCTACATGTCTCTCTTTTTTCCATAGGAATTTCCCCAAACATTTAAAACCCATAGTTTTTACTGTATATACAGCCTAAACCATAGCAATCTATGATTATGTCATTTTACACTGTGCAAAATCCTCAAAAAATAGTGGTAGGATAGAACAAAGAAATCAGTAACGAGTAAATTTCATCGTAAGACATTCATATATTTTGGTCCTTCTCCAAACCAAACTGATTTTAAACAGACGCAATCTCTTTAAACCCCTCCAATCAAATTCTGACAATGATCCATACCCCATAACAAAAGAGCAATCGATGAAGTACCTTGCAAGAGGTCAAACAGCAATATGCCAGATTGAAAAGATTAAAAAAAGAGCGCAAAAACGTTAACAAAAGCCAGATCTGAAACAAACTCACCACATATAAAATCTTAAAAAAAGAAATTTAAACGGGGACTTTGGAGCTTATTTATGATAGTAAAAGTAATTCAACATATGATATGAGAAATTAATAGGACATTCAATGCAATCTGAAAAGACTGAAGGGGATTTTACAGACAGTGGAGATTTGAGTTTTTAATTTTCTTTTTTTTATTTCAAAAGTTTTGTAAGAAGGACACCACCAGTGTATTTCACAAAGACATAAATGTATACACCCCAGCAACACAAAAAGAATAAATCTTCAAAAATGTTCACCCCTGATTATTTACATTTTTTTCTAATATAAATTTAGGACTTCAGTATGTAAATAAATATACATTACTATGTATACCTTTCTAGTGCGGCTTACCAACAAATCAGCTGAACTTGAATTTTTTGTTTTAATTAGAGCAGGTATGCTTTTGATGGTCGGGAAGGGACGGAGGAAGGAGAAGCAATCGGAACCGTCCAGTTCACACCAGCTCTCGGTCTGCCTTCTCTTGGGAGCTGGCGGAAGGTGTCAGTGTGGCCGGGAACATCAACACCTTGGCATGCATGAACGTTAGGTCGGGAAGGCTAGCGATCACCTTGATGGCTTCTTCACTCAGGTGCTCTTCTCTTTTCGGTTTCCTATTGACAAAGGAAAAAAGAGAAGCGGGTTAACGTGACTTTGCTGTAGGTCAAATAGGCGAAAACCCATTCTCAAGGTAGACAGCTTTTCCTCTGCCAGTTCCTGAACCTCGTAATACTTGTGTGTTGTGTGCTTCCTGTACCAGATGCCACACCTCCTCTGAAGACGTGTGCCCTGTTTACGTATGTTCATTACTGCCAGGCACGTACATACAGATATCAACATGGACCTGTGTACAGCCCACAGCTTTACTGAAGGCTAGAAGCATCTACCCAGGCATACTTGCAAAATGTTACTAATACAATGCTGAAGCCCTAATAACACTCCGCCCAACTGGATTTCCCCCTGCCCCTCTGTGAAACTCCAAAATTACCTCAATGTAAAACAACGTATGTCTGGCACAAGACCTTGTAAGTCATTTTAACCTCAGGCTTTTTTCATCCCCAACGGGGAATTCCAGGAGAGAAAGCCCTCAGCTGAAAAACACCCAGTCTCGGCCCGCTGGGACACAGACGCAGCTCCCAAAGCAGCAGCGCGAAGGCCGGCCGCCACTGTTGAGAACGTACACAGGCACGAAGGGCTGGGGGAGAGGGGAGATCTTGAACTCCTACAGGTCCTGTAGATAAAGTACATTTACTACACTGGCCCCGGGTATAAGAAGTGAGCAGTTTGGTGCCCAGCACAGATGGGAAGAACTCCTAGTGACCCAGGTCTTCCCAGCAGGTGAGCTGCAAAAAATGCTACCTGAGTCTCAAATGTGGCTCAAATTGAGCACATGACTGTAAACCAATCTTTATTTTTTCTAAGATGTTAATTATATGAAAGAATAGCTGTAGTTATATAGATATAAATTTTAGACAAAATTCATTTAAAATTATTGACTCTCAAAAGCCCAATTTTCTTTTATGGTAAAGGACAGTTGGTTTTAGCTGTGACACAAGTTATTTCTTCCACCTACATATTTTCTTTGTCATGGGGATGGGAAGCAGGAAGTCAGGCAATGAAGCAAGAAAGGAAAGACACATATAGGCCTTTATTTTATACCTAGACTTTTCTGTTACCACTTTTGAATTTAGGCTGAAATAAAAGGATTTTATAGAATGAATAAAAAATCAAACATCAGGCTTTCAGGAGCAAAGTTCTCCAGCAGGGGTCAGCTTCAGGCACACTGGAAGCATGAGCAGATCAACCAGTGCTGAGCTCAGCCTAGGGTTTCCCAGAAGAATGGAACAGCACTTCAAAATTTTTCTGATTAAAGTCTACATTTTTAAATTGCATTTAAATGGTGGCAAAACTATTAGGTGGCAGTTTGATGGGGAATTGGATATCTCCATCATTCCAGAGATAGTTCATTTTTTAGTCTCAAAGTGAAAAACTGGAAGTGGATAATGGAAAAGGTCAGCCTCTCACCAAATGTCAGTCCTAGCATCACTAACAATGCAGTCAACCAGACATTATGTATCTTCTGATGCGATACAGCACCTATGATGTATTCTAGCCAAAATGTTTTGCCTGAATCCATCAAACTTGTGGATATAATTTTCAGTTTACAGGAAATCAGGGGAATAGAGAAACATATTAAATACTACTTGAATATTTTTTTGAATATTTTTTGAAGGAAGCAAATAGACAAAAAGGTTGTCTGCAGGACAACTGGAGTGATCTTTTTAACAAGCTAGTATTAAACTGAAAAACAAACAAAAAGAGATGTGGGTAGATATGCTAGGTTAAAGGAGACTTAAGAGCCATGAGAGGTGCCGGCCCGGTGGCGCAGTGGTTAAGTTCGCATGTTCCGCTTCTTGGCGGCCCGGGGTTCGCTGGTTCAGTTCGGATCCCAGGTGTGGACATGGCACCGCTTGGCACGCCATGCTGTGGTAGGTGTCCCACATATAAAGTAGAGGAAGATGGGCACGAGGTTAGCTCAGGGCCAGGCTTCCTCAGCAAAAAGAGGAGGATTGGCAATAGTTAGCTCAGGACTAATCTTCCTCGGGAAAAAAAAAAAAAAGAGCCATGAGAGCGAGGTACAACAGTCCTCTGCTCTGTCCAAACCAATATTCAACCTACAGGAAACTGGAATATAGCCTGAGTATTAGAGGAAATGAAAATTTATTGAAATTGACAGGTGGAGATCACCGACTGCAAGAGTAGGTTCAATTCAGTACAGACTATAAAATCTCATTTTTGGTTAAAACAAAACATATAGGTGTATATTTGCATAGAAAAAGATCTGAAAGAATACGCACTAAGGCGTTATACTCATCTGAGTGGTAAGAATGTGATACTTTAATGTTTAATTTTTGTTTGTATTTTTTAACTTTCTGTAATATATTTTATTGCTTCTTTAATGATAAAAGGTTACTAAAAACAGTAACAAAAAAATTGCACTTAAATGGACTTCCTCATTTGTGGAGTACAGTTTGGGTGTGGGAAAGGAGAGCAAGAGAGAAGCTTTCCCCCAAGGAATGGTTGGTAAAGATTATTCTATGGGCCAGCCCTGCGGCCGAGTGGTTAAGTTTGCACGCTCCGCTTTGGCGGCCCAGGGTTTCACCGGTTCGAATCCTGGGTGTGGACATGGCACTGCTTATCAGGCCATGCTGAGACGGCGTCCCACATGCCACAACTAGAAGGACCCACAACTAAAAATACACTTTTGGGGATTTTGGGGAGAAAAAGGAAAAATAAAATCTTAAAAAAAAAAAGATTATTCTAGAGTTTCTATCAATGGCCTTATTTCAGAGGCACTACTTGGAAGCATGTGAAATTGTATTTAAAAATAAGAAAAAAGTTTACATATTTTATGGTTTGTGCATTTATCTATAGTCACTGTGCAATTGGTGTGATCTAGTTTTTTTTAGAATACATGAAGAAAATGCTTGAGGAGAATTTGAAAATAAAAAGTTATACTATGAACTTTTCTCAAGCCCAAAGGCAGTGGGCTAATTTTGATATATATTCTCTCTAGCTAAGCTGTACCTTTTTTGTCAATGGAATATAATGGAAAAGTCCAGAAATAAACCCATACATTTATGGTAAATTGATTTTTAACAAGGGTGCCAAGACCATTCAATGGGGAAATAGTAGTCTTTTCAACAAACAGTGCTAGATATCCACATGCAAAAGAATGAAGATGGACCCCTACCTCATACCATATTAGAAAACTCAAAATGGATCAAAGACCTAAATGTAAGAGTTGAAGCTATAAAACTCTTAGAAGCAAACCTAGGTGTAAATCTTCCTGACCTTTAAGTAGGCAATGGTTTCTGGGATGGCTATACCCAAAAAGTCACAAAGTAACAAGCCTTGGTGAGAATGTGGAGAAATTGGAACCCATGTACATTACTGGTGGAATGTAAGATGGTGCAGCCACTTTGGAAAACAGTTTGGCAGTTCCTCAAAAGTTAAACATAGAGTCACCATATGACCCAGCAGTTTCACTCCCAAGAAAATTGAAAACATTTGCCCATGTAAGAACTTGTACATGAGTGTTCACAGCAGCATTATTTGTAATAGTCAAAACAACCCAAATATCCACCAATTGATTAATGGATAAGCAAAATGCGGTATATCTATAAAATGGAATATTATGTGGCCATAAAAAGAAACGAAAAGTACTGATACACACAACAACATGGCAGAACTTGAAAACATTATGCTAAGTGAAAGAGGCTAGACACAAAAGGTCGCATGTTCTATGATTCCATTTATATGAAATAACCAGATTAGCAAAGCTATAGGGATAGAAGGCAGATTAGTGGTTGCCAGGGGCTGGGAAAAGTGACAGATAGGGAGGGACTACTAATAGGTATGAAATTTCTTTCTGGTGATAAAAATGCTCTGGAACTAGATAGTGGCGATGGTTGCACAACCTTGTGAATATACTAAGAACCACTGCACTGTACACTTGAGAAGGGTGCATTTTATGGCATGTAAATTATATATCAATTAAAAGGTCAAAAAAAGAAAAAACAATGTATCCCTTTGGACAACTAGTCCTTTGGCTTGTATAAACTTCAGTTGGAGATCTGTAGCTACTAAGTAGGTAGCCACCCACTGATTAAGATTAGGAAGTAATTTTTCTCTATATTAGAAAAGGTGGGCAAGAAGATGGAACTATTTTGTTTTATTTTTTAAGGAAGATTAGCCCTGAGCTAACATCCACCACCAATCCTCCTGTTTGCTGAGGAAGACTGGCCCTGAGCTCATATCCATGCCCATCTTCCTCTACTTTATATGTGGGACGCCTGCCACAGCATGGCAT